CCACAGGCCAGACACCCCTAGGTTCTTTCTGACCAAGGGGGCTTCTCTAGCCCGCCTTCCTAACCTGCAGGAAGAGGGGGTCGGCCCCTACCTTGGGTGTGCCAGCCTCAGCGCCCCTCTCCCTGATGAAGGCCATCCTGCAAAGCCTTTGCCAGCGGACAGGCCTTGGAGCAGAGGCTCCCAGCGGGGAAGAAGGCGCAGGGGAGGGGGACAATTCTTCCGGGGTCTCTAGCTCCCAAAGCCAGACTGAAGCCTAAGGCGCTGGCGCCACCACCTGGCTCTGCCCAGAACCACAATGGCTGAGGGATGGGTGTGAGGATTCTGGGAGTCCGGGTGGGGTCCGGGTAGCCCAGAGCCCAGTTAAATGTTGGCCCAGGGTGGTCTGGACCTATTCAGCAAGAAGGGCCCAAACCATCTTTTGTTTTGTTTTGTTTTGTTTTTTCCCAGGCATAGAGTCTACATGACCCCGAGAATGAGGCCATAGGCCCCATAGAACAGCAGCTTCAAAGTTTAGCCCGCATCAAAACCGCCTGGCAGCCTTGTGGCTTTAACGTCCGCTCCCCCAGTTTCTGACTCTGTGGGTGTGGGAGGGGCCAGGAATTTGCATCTGTAACAGTGTCCAGGTGCGGCTGATGCTGGCTGGTCTGGGGACCATGCTCCGACAACCACTGCTTTAGCATTTCTGTGGATCTGGCCCGCTATTACCTCTGTAGAGTATGTCCTGTTATTATATCTGGGGGCAAAAAAAATTAGTGGAAGTACAGGTGCATGATCAGCCCATCTCAGTCCGTGACCCACCATATTTCTACTGAGAGCCCACCTTAGGTCCGGCTGGCCCTGCTGTAGGGCTGGGGATAAAATGGTAAACGAGATGAACGGGTCCCCGCCTCAGAACTGACAGCCAGGAGGGTCTGGCACGTGATCTTCCCACCTGGGAGTCTAAAAGGCAGTTCGAAAGAAGGTCCAGACAGACCTCGAGTCACAGTCCACCAGCTTCATTTCAGGTCTTCCCCGTTGAGTAACTAGCCCACCAGCCAGTCCAGCTGCAAGCCCCGAGTCACCCAGATTCCTCACTCTGTCTCCTGCATGGAATCCCACAAGGCAGGGGCTCTGCCTCCATAGTGCGTCTGCTCTCTGCCCACTGTCATCTGTCTCTCTGAATGTGATCTCCTCCTTCCCTCCTTGCCCCCCTGGCCCACCCTCTGCGTGGCAGCCAGAGCAATTTTTTAAGGCATTATCACATCACTTCTCTGCTTACCCTCTCCAATGTCTTCCTTTTTTTTTTTTTTTTAATTTTTAGTGTTTATTTTTAAGAGAGAGACAGAGTGTGAGTGGAGGAGGGGCAGAGAGAGAGAGGGAGACACAGAATCTGAAGCAGGGTCCAGGCTCCGAGGGGTCAGCACAGAGCCTGATGCGGGACTCGAACTCAGGAACTGTGATATCATGACCTGAGCCAAACTTGCATACTCAACGTACTGAGCCCCCCAGGCACTCCCAAGTGTCCTCCTGTTGCACTTAAAACACATCCAAAATCCTGATGCAGCTTTAAGGCCCTGGGTGGTCCTCACCTCTTCCCATACTCCCTTGCTCCCTGGGCTCCAACCACTGGCCTCCTTGCTTGTTCCCCCCGCAGGATCTTGGCCCAACCTGTCCCCTCCAGGTGGAACACTCTTCTGCTAGAACTGCCCTGAGCAGGCTCCCCTTGTGCCCTGAAATAACCTCGATGTTGCCCCCCGCCCCCAGCTACTCTCTGTTCTTATGAACTGGTTTTATTTTGTTCATAGCACTACTATTCTTTGAAACTATTGGTTTATCTGTTTGTTTCCTGCCTGTGCCCTCACCAGAATGCGAGCACCCTAGAAGCAGAGATTGTCTTATGCACTATGTGCTCCATAAATACTTGCTGAATGAATGGGATTATAGAGGATGCCATGGCAGGGTAAGTCCCCCAGACATGACATGGGGAAGGTTTTCCAGAAGTTAGTTGAAGGCCGAGACAGGAGGGCCTATAGAAGTTCAGGCGGAAAAAAAACAAACAAACAAAAGGATGTGGGACAGTCCTAAAGCATGGAGTGTTCAGGAAAACTGTACATAGTCCAAATCGGCTTGAGCAGATTAGAGGAGAGGGGAGGTCAGAGGAGTCAGAGAAGTGTCACATAGGCCACGCAGGGCCTCGCTGCTCTGTGAGGGGTTTGAGCCCTATACTGAGGGCAGTGCGCAGTCCCTGAAGGGTGTTAACCCAGGGCATTTAGAAAGAGTGGCTGAGGGCAGAATGGTTTTTAGGGAGAAAGTGTGGGGGGCAGGTCTCTGGGAGATGCTGTGGGCCAGGTGAGTGGTACTGGTACACCAGTCGAGCGGCAGAGCAGAAGAAAAGAGGTGGCCAAGTGCCAGGGATATTGAGGAGGTGGTTTTGCCAGGATGAGGTGATGGAGTAGGTTGAAAGAGGGATGCGGCATCAGTGACACCCAGCTCTCCAGCTTGAAGGACCAGGTGGCAGAGGTACCATTCTCTAAATTGGGGAGGCCACCAGAGGGGGAGATGTTGGGGGGAAAGGGTAGAGTTCTGTTTTGAGCAAATGGAATCTTGGGGCACTTGGCTGGCTCAGTCGGCAGAACATGTGACTCTTGATCTCAAGGTTGTAAGGCTGAGCCCTACCCCTGAGTGTCGAGTTTAACACACACACACACACACACACACACACACACACACACACACACACAGAATGTGGGTCCAAATCGGTAGTGGAGACACTTGCGGTTTTCCAGAAAGACAGAGTGGCCCACGTGGTCAGCTGCTGAAGAGAACCCTCTTCTTGGTTGAGGAGGTAATATCCTTTGTGGGGAGTGGCCAGGAGGACTCTGGTCTTGGCAGGAGCAGTTTGGTGGAACGGAGATGAGGAAGGGACCCTTGGAGCAAAGCACAGATCCTAGTTCAAGGGGTTTGGAGGGAGAGAGAGAGAGATAAGACTGTGGCTGGGGGCCCGCAAACAGCTTGGTGTTTTCCTGTTTTAAACTGGGGGAGATTCAAGTCCTTTGGAATGTCAAAGGAAGCACCCAGAAGAGAGGGAGGCTGATGATTCCAGGAAGGACAAGGGCATTTAGAGCTTAGGGCCTTTCCATCCTGAGGAGGGGGTACCTCTTCCCGTGGTACCAGGCAGTGAGAGCTGCAGTAGGCTTGGGGGAAGGGGATGGAGGTTTGCAGCCTGGAAATGAGAGCTCCCAGGTGAAGTCTTCTCTTTTCTCCAAAAAGTATCAGGGAGATCCTCCTGGAGCAGAGATTGCAGAAGCTGTGACATGCCACTGAGGAGAGGAGGCAGGAGCAGCACAGGGGAAACGGCCCGTTGGGCCTGGTCAGAGTCCAGTGGAGAGTGGAAATCCTGTCTGCAGTAGCCCCAACATGCCGAAAAGCAAGATGGTTATAGGGTTTTCCCGGGCAGGGTTGATGGGAGAACCCACAGGCAAGGGAGTCAGTGACAGGCTGGATCACTTGATGGACTGGGGAGAGAGGAAAGGGACAATGGGAGGGGTCAATGCATTCAGAGGAGAAGGAGGAGAATTGAGGAGGAGGAGTTGAGGCTGGAGAAGAATTTGGAAACCCCTGTGACCAGCAGGATGGACAGAGGCTCTGGGATGACTCCAGGATGGGAGAGGAGGGGCACACTGCTTCCTTTTAGAAACGGAATCCCCATTCTGGGGCTGGGAGTGCCTTCTGGCCAGAGGCTACCATGCAAGGGAAGGGACTCTCCCAGAGGACTTCAGACCTTTCATTGTAGGACCACTAGCCACCTAGAAGCTTTGGAGTGGGGCTGGAGACCAGGACTCCAGGGTTCAATGCCCCCACAGGTTGCCCCATCTTCAGGCAAGTCCATTCCTTGCTGGTTCCCCACCCTTCCCCCCTCAGCAGAGTTAGTGTGTATAGGCTTAGCCCTCTTCCCTGACCCTGGAAAGAGACTGAAGGGAGACCCAAAGGAGCCATAGGAAAGTAGGCCTTTACG